GTGGCAACGGAGACGCTCCCTGCATGCCACAACAAGCCTGTGGGGTAGACGAGACTAGAACTTGCATCTCCCGTTGAAAAATAAAAGCAGAAAAATATTTTAAAGGCACTGTCTTCCACAGATAATTATTAACTGCTCGATCCCCTTTTCTCTCCCCCACCCTTTCTTCATGTTGCCCTTATTTTTGAATTAAATTTTTAAAAATTCAATTAAATTGATTTAATTTAATTAAATTTAAATAATTAAATTTAAAAAATTAATAACATTTTAAAAATTCAATTTAATTCAATTTTGAAATAATTTTTTTCTAAATTCAAAAATAAAAAGGAAATCAGCAAGCTGCCAGCATCCTTTTAAAGCAGGGTGAGCTTTACGAAAGGCAGATTACTTGAAACAAGGTTCTAGTCCAGTGGTTCCCAATCTTGTGTCCCCAGATGTTCTTCGACTAAAACTCTCAGAAGTCTTCACCCCCTCGCTGTGCTGGCCAGGATTTACTGGGAATTGTAGTCCAAGAACAAATGGGAACCCAGGGTCGGGAAGCACTTCGTCCCTACGATAGTTCCGCAGGCTGGCGCACCTCGAGTGCCTTCTTATCACTTGATTTGGCTCTAAAAAAACCCACTCTATTTGGAAAACTTTGTTTTAGGAAGATGACCAGGCAGGCTTGCGTTTGGAGATGAAGGCCTCGATCCCTTCTTGCCCATCCTTCATGGCCAGGTTGTCCACCATGACCCGCGAGGTGGTTCCGTAGGCCGCGCTAAGATCTTGCTCCATCTGTTTGTAAAAGGCGGCTTTCCCCAGTGCCAAAACAGACCTGCTGCTCTCGCATATCTTGCAGGCAATTCTCAGGGTCTCCTCTTCTAATTTCTCCTCTGGGACCACTTGGCTGACGAGCCCGTGAAGAAGCGCTTCCTGAGCGGTCATGGGTTCACCTGTGAGCAACATCCGCAGGGCAACCTGAAGAACAATTTTGCAACCGGAGAAAGGATTATCTGATGTTGGTTCCTTTCAAGGCCAGGAACTGTGTACAGTAGGACCCCTGTATGCATGAGGGACCCATTCCAAAACCTGCAAATAATAATAAACGCTATATATAGCATACACACTTTTTGGTGTTTTGCTTTTTAGCACGGTCTCTGGCTCTCTCTAGTGGCTAGTTTTGGTAATCACATCAGGGAAATACATATTTTTCCATGTATAAGACACCCCTGTATATAAGACGCTCCCACTTTTCTAATCCAAAATTAAGAAAAATAAGTGAGGCTTAGCAAGTGTAGGGGAAAAGGGATCACAGCGCTGCAGGATCGCTTTGATCCCTGCTTTCCCCTCCACTTGTTTTTGTTCTCTCCTCAGCTTACTTCCGTGTATAAGGCGAGCCTCAATTTTTAATCTAAAGATTTTAGACAAAAGTGTAGTTTTATACACGGAAAAATATGGTATTTCTGTTTTTTTTTTTAAATATTTTTATTTTCACACTGTGGATAAGTGAAACTGCAGATACCAATGCCACGGATACATGGGTCCTGCCGTCTATGTATATACGTATATACATGTACATCATGCACCAGCCATGCAAACAAGCTACAGGAACTTGAATGTAACATTAACATAATGTTGTTACGTATATCAAATCGCTTCCAAAGATGTTCAAGGAGTGGTTTACCACTGCCACTCTCTAGCAAGTTTCCGTAGCCAAGCAGGGATTTGAACCCAAGCTCAGAACCCAGGCTGAATAGAGTCTCAGTCTGATATTCTATCCACTACCCCACATTAGCTCTTGCAACCTCCATACTGGAATTATCCATAGGACTCAAGAGTAATAGCCACTGATAGACCCATCCTGAATGAATGAGTCCAAGCCACTTTGGTGATAATCACCACATCAGGTGGCAATGAATTCCAGAGTATAACTAAGCACAGTGAGAGGAAGGAGTTCCTCCACTTCCTCAAATACGTGGAAAGCTGCCTGTAGACACAAATCTGCACAATTCTACTGGCTGCCATTACGACCAGCATTAGGATCTCATGATGTTCTGTGGGTACTTCATCCACACTAAGCAGACATGTAGGGTCACCCCTCTCTCAAAGCTGCCGAGAAAGGAGCAATCATGCAAAAGGCGGCAAACCATCTTTTTGCCGAGACCTACCTTCCTAGGGAGAGATCGACCCACAGCCACTCCAGGAGTCGAGCAAAACAGACCGACGTTTACTCCCGGGGTGGCAAACGTGGACTTCTCGCTGGCCACAGCAAGATCACAGCTGGCCACAAGCTGGCAGCCCGCCGCGGTGGCCAGACCGTTCACCTTCGCAATTACAGGCACCGGCAGTTTTGGAAGTAAAACCATGATCTGTTAAAAAAAGAGAGAAGAAGTGTATTTTTTTAAAAAAATTAGAATATCTTAGCAATATACTAGTAAAAACAAAAGATGGCTACAGCATCTCTCTTGTTTTCACCATGGCAGATGAACATATTTTGCTGGAATCCTGTTAGTGCAGCCTCAGCATGAGTAACTCTGATGATGTCATCAGCCATAGCCTTTGATCTTTAATGAAAAGTTTTGTATCCTCAGCACCACCACCAAGGTTCTGAGGCTGTCTTTCAAGTTGAGGAAGCTGTTGGGGTTCTCAAGAAGGAAGCTTTTAATGACTGAAATAGCCACCACGGGAACTGTCACCAGCCTTAAGCATGCAGAGTTATGCCAAGAGGATCCCAGCCCTTTATTTCTATTTATTTCATGCACTGACTGAAGAGCTGCCTCAAGACATTCTGTGGTCTGAGGAAGCGTAAGATGGAGCACTCCCCCATTCCATGTACAAAAGCCATCTGGATGGATAGCTAAATCCATCTTCAACCGAGGTGATGATGAAGTAGTGTTCTCTGCAACACCTGGAGGCAGGAGGAGAGGCTGCACGATGCACAGCTTTCTTCTTCTTGCAACCACCCACCAATTTCTGCTGCCCGAGGTCACTGCCACTATCTACAAGGCAGCCTCCCGAAGCAAGCCGTGGTCTCGCTAAAATGAAACATCAGCTTAGGAAAAGACAACCGCTACAGGAACAGAGACAGGGAAAAATAATCTATAAAAGTGTCAGACTATAGGTAAAACAAACTAAAGACTAACTGAATCAAAAAAGATCTTGACTGATGCCAAAAATGTAAGTGTCAGACCCCACGTGAGCCTCTCGCCCCACATGTTCCTAAGATATGAGGTACAGGTAGCCTTATGCCAGGTCTATGTAGCACACTTTTCTCAAGGCCTTCACTGAGATAATAGAATCAAGGGGTCAGAAGGTACCTTAGAGGTCATTTAGTCTACCCCTTGGCTCAATGCTGATTTCTGCGTTCTTCAGGTTTGGCGGAGTGGCCACCTAATGTTATTCCTTTGTCCAGCCTCCTAAAGAATCTTTCAGAAACCTCAAGCTGCGTGAAAAATCCAACTGCCCAATTAAAATTCCGGAACATGATAAAACGGGACAGGCAACGTATTCCGCATATACGGCACCCATAGGAGCAACTCACTTCAGAGCATGTCTTAAAGACTTCCATGTGGTACTTCTCGCCCTTCTCATGAGTCAGTTCTTTTAAGTCATGTCCAGAGGAGAAAACAGGCCCTTCACCTTTGGAGGTGTTTGGGGGAAAAGAAAAAGACAGGTGACAGGATGTTACAAATCATATATAAAAAAGATGGCAATCGTCTTGACCCGAGGCTTATAAGAGGATTCACACATCAGTGAATGGACGCATGGATCTGATCCATGGTTTTGTCTTGACTAACAGACAACAGCAGTAACCCCTTCGTTCCGAGTCAAAATGTGAAGGAAGAATGTGAAGCTGGAGCAAAACCTTATTGGGGATGGGGATTTAGGATTTCTTGGACTACAAATCCCATAATTCTCCATTCTGGGATTTGTCCCTGGCAGACAGGCACCTAAATATGGCTCATATGAGAGATAAAGGCCTAAACCGGATGGCTTTGAGGCCAAGCTAGGCCTCGCTCTACCTTATTCCTGCTCCAGTGCCAGTCGGGAGCTTTCGTTCTAGACAGGAAGCTAGGCCTAGCTTCCTGTCTAGAACGAAAGCTCCCGACTGGCACTGGAGCAGGAATAAGGTAGAGCGAGGCCTAGCTTGGCCTCAAAGCCATCCAGTTTAGGCCTTTTTCTCTCATATGAGCCATATTTAGGTGCCTGTCTGCCATGGACAAATCCCAGAATGGAGAATTATGGGATTTGTAGTCCAAGAAATCCTAACAGCATGCCGAGAGAAAGAGCATTTTTTTTCTGAGGGTTATTCAAAACGATGTTCCTGTGAAGATAACTTTGGTCAGAGATGGCCCTGGGAGGCAGTTGCCGACCTGGCTCACAGTCTCATGTATTGCACATGGATATAGGCCTTCAGAAAAAGACCACCATACAACGCAACAGCAACCAGTCAATCGTCCTGGGGTGTTCGGGCATATTTTTCATGAGGCTGACTCCAAATTGTGACAGCTGTTTTCACTCTTGTATAAGGAAGTGTACTGCCTCTGAAAAGGTGCAGTGCAAGAACAGGTACAATAGACTCTCCCGCTCATTGCGGTGTATCAGGTTTGTATCAGGCCATGACTAGCTCACAAAATGGTGGTTTTAAGGCCGCATCCACAATGGTGAGGAATTCTGGGAGTAAAACAACACTGGAGGATGCAAGTTTGTGGGCCAGTGGCTCCAAAAAGTTCCCATAAAAGCACATTTCAAATAGTTGATTTGACCATTTTTCTTTTCTTTTAAACATGCAAACACTGTTTTGGATTGTCTTAGACTCAGAGAATCAGAATGGAGTTGGAAAAGGCCTACAAGGCCATCCAGTCCAACCCTCTCCTCAGGGCAGGAATCCAGATCCGAGCAGATCTGACCGAGGGTGGTCTGGTTTTCCTCTGAATGCTTCCAGTATAGCACAAAATGCTGAACAAAGGGGTCCAGACACCACATTTCATGTTTTTGAGGTGCTGAAAAATGCTCTGTTAGTGTTGTCACATATTACAGCTAACACAAATACAGTATATATTTGGAAATGATTGCAAAATGATTTTGATGAATTTTGAAGTTTAACTGCTGAATTGATTAATCATGGAGGGAAGTACTCAGCGATTAAACCCAAGGATATGCTCCCCGGTCAATATGTTTCCCTCTGCTCGTCTCTGAGTCCTGAACTTGGGAACCTGGGCCATTTAGTATAGTATACAATATACAGTATGTGATGTTTTAAACCAGACTCTGTGAGCCTCCAGAGACATCCAGATATGAGCACAATTCAGATGCCAACATTCATGCTTTTACAGACTTTCTTCACACATAATGCTTACGCAGTACAAGATTCCTGTGCATGTGACCACCATGTGTTTTCATCTGAGCAAGTGTAAAGTTTAGTTAACAGCTTTGCAAAACATCATTACGGGGAGGAGGCACAGTCTGCAGCTCTGATGATGTGCCTAAAACCTGGGCAACCAATTAATATGATTTCCCCAGCTGATAGCTAAGGGAATCTGGCGAAGATAACTCTGTTTAAGCCCTGTCAGCATCCTCTCTCCCCACAAACGTGAATTTATCTCCTTGCTTATTTATTTTCAAAGGGCTCTTATATGAGGCTCTGCATTAAAGCCTTCCTCGCCTGTGCACAGAACTCTTGCCCCGCAGGGCACGTTTGCAGAGGACGGAAAAGTTACTCTGGATGGACTACAACCCCCCCCCCAGTGGGCAACATGGGTTTTTTTGGGGAGTCCTGACCATCAGACACACCGGGTCCATGAGAGCAAAAAAAAAGGAAAAGAAAGAAAGAAAGAAAGAAAGAAAGAAAGAAAGAAAGAAAGAAAGAAAGAAAGAAAGAAAGAAAGAAAGAAAGAAAGAAATGCAGCCGGACAATCGACTTACAGACCAGAAAAAAACCAAAATGGAATAAAAAATAGATTAAAAACCACTGGTTATGGGATTAATCGGTTTTCAGTGCATTGTAGGTCAGTGGAGATTCGACTTACAGACTTTTCTACTTGCAGCCACCATTCCAATATGGATTAATTCCTTAAGTAGAGGGTCCACTGTATTATTTGAAATCCACAATGACGTTGTGTCCGATGGCGACTGTAGCTGCAAAAAGTCATGGTCCCATATATGTGTTAATTTTCAAGGCTTTGTGATAAAGTTCAGCTGATGAAACCAATTTATGAACAACACACAAATATCAAAGTACGTATGTCACAATTCTATACCATCCCGATGCTTTCTTCCCCGAGGTGTTTGGAGTCGAAGGTCTTTCTGCTTAATTATGGTTCAGTTAGTTTACAGTATTATTTCCCGTTAAAGCCACGTTTTTCTTTTCTTTCAGCTGGTGAGGTGGGAGAGAGGAGGTCTAAGGAAGAACAGCATCAAATATGTCTAGGAAAATGTGCTGAGGGGAAGAAAACCCAGGAAATAAAGACTGAAACTGTAGAGAAGAAGGATGAATCTTTTCCTTTTCCATATGGCAGTTTTCATGAAATCTCTCTCCGGGGAGAAACAGACCAAAGCAATGAATGTCAGAAGTTCTCCGTGTGCAAAGAAAGCTCTCACTGCCAGGCGAGTCTAAATGCTGCCTGGGAGATCCACCGATGGGGTGGGCAGAATCCGCACTCGGCACCACCGAAGCGCCCGCCTAGGTGGCCTTCGGGGGAGCGGCGCGGTCCTAGGATGGCCCCAGAAGAAAGGTGAACCACCTCTGACTACCTACTCTGTAACCTAGAAAACTCCGAATAGGTCAGAAGGGACTTGGTGGCACATCATCATCATCGTTGGCCATTGGGGTTATCAAGGTACAGTATGTCAGCTACTCTGTTTCCCCGAAAATAAGACCTAACCTGAAAATAAGCTCTACAGTGGGGTCTCTACTTAAGAACTTAATCCGTATTGGAAGGTGGTTCTCAAGTTGAAAAGTTCTTATGTTGAATCTGCATTTTCCATAGGAATGCATTGAAAACCATTTAATCTGTATCTGCTCTTTTCCGTCCATAGAAACTACATACTGTGATTTTGCAGGATGCTCCTCATATAAGCCCTACGCTAAAAAAATAAGCCCCAGTGAAGTGAAACCCTGCCCTCCACCCTTGTGCAGCAACCAGAAGATGACATGACTGTCTTTGAATAAACGTACATAGATTGTTGTACATGAAAAAACAAAATCCCCTGAAAATAAAAATAAGCCTTGCTGCTTTTTTTGGAGCAAAAATTGATAGAAGACCCTGTCTTATTTTCAGGGAAACACGGTATTTAAGGGGAGGTTTCTCCATGGCTACCCACTACTGAGTTTCCATGGCTGATGAGGGGTGTGGGGGCCAGGTTTCCTGAATGCTAGTCCCTCGTTCTGCCCGCCATGCCATGCCAGCTCTCGTCAGAGATAGAGCGAGAGCAAAACTGAGCAGGCAAACAAGTCTGCGGATGGGTACAGTATTCGTGCACACGGGCAGGTGTTTACTCAGGTAGGCCTCACCTTGACCCTGTTTGCTGAACTCTGGAATTCAGCCAAAGAGCCAGAAAATGCAGTCGGCTGTCCAAATTAGGAGTCTCTCTCGAGCGGCTGCTGCCATCCTGTGATCGTGTGACTGAATTAAAAACCGGGCAGATGTTTTTGGCGATCACATGCGTGATCCTGAGATCTTCCCCACCGTAGACATTTGCACAGAGGCGGATGACACGGGGAGAGAGCAGGGCAGAGGGTGGCCATATCCCCCTGATTAGAGACAAGGGTGGCAAGGGTGGTTTTTTTCAGTAGCGATCTATGGAAGTGAGAGCTGGACCGTAAAGAAAGCTGACCGCTGAAGAATCGGTGCTTTTGAATTGTGCTGGAGGAGGCTCTTGAGACTGCAAGGAGAATAAACCTCTCCATTCTGAAGGAAATCAACCCTGAGTGCTCACTGGAANNACTCCAGGAGGCAGTGGAAGACAGGAGGGCCTGGCATGCTCTGGTCCATGGGATCACGAAGAGTCAGACATGACTTAACAACTAAATAACAGCAAGTGTGGCTTGGCCTATTTATTTACCAGTTCCATTTGAATTTATTTCTATTCCAACTTTATAACTACAGTACAGTATAAATGAAATTTGGAGTATCATATGCCTCAGTTAACCACAAGGGGGAAACAGTTTCTAACATAATACGGTAATAATAGTTTGAGCAGATTTTATGGTTCAGCTCCTGTAAAGCCAAATGCAGCCTCTTGCACTGTTTGCACTTTAATCACTCCTTTGGTTCCCCCCCCCTTTTTTTCCCTGACCACCCTCTTGGCTGCTTATTCCCAGGGGACTTTTGTTCTTGTCCAAGTTTCATTCTCAAATTCTTCAGCTTCATTGCCAAAATGTGAAGCTGAAGGCTGCCACCGGGCACTTTACCAAGCCCCCATGCTTATTAGATTTTCCATAAATATATATCTTCAGTGTCAACTTCTTATTGGTGGTAGGGCTTGGGAATGCTTGCTCCAAGGAGCTTCTCAATGCCAGCCAGAAAGGTTTTTGTGTGTACGATCCTAAGTCTTCTTATGGAATACAGTATTCATCAGAGGAAACACAAAGCTTCTGATACAGATGCTAGCTTAGGGCTCAATCACACTTGCAAAAAGAACCCCAGTCAACGTTCCCTCTCATTTTAAACCCTGCTCTGCCCCTCTTGCATGTGACTCCACCCCTTCAGCAACTCCGCTCCCTGTGCAGGGTTCGGCTGCAATCGGAACCAAAGGGGCCGGAAACACACATTGCGGGTGTGTGGAGGAGGAGAAATGCTGCACCGAGAGAGGGGTATGTGTGTGTGTGTGCTGTGCTCATGTCTGTGCAGCCGTGCAGCTTAGAGGGAGCCTTCATTCCAGTTATACTGTTTTGGCCGTTATTTGATTCGTTTCGAAATTTTCCGTTCACATGATGCAGTGCTAACATTTTGATTCATTTGCCGCAGCAATCCGTTTATTATCTCCTCACCGGGAGGGTTGTTTTTAAATGCACCGATCATGTATTGCTTCATTTCCTATTCTTTCCGTATGTGTGATTGTTGCTGTCGATTTATTTCCTTCGTGAAGGGATCAGGTTTTGGGGCACTGTGGCCACTTCATGGCCACTGTGCTTGTACCCTTAAAGTGTTTTTTTTTTTAAAGGGGTTTTTATTAATCAAAGACACTCCCAAAAATGGGTTTCTTTTCTCACGTGTGACTGAGCCCTTAGTGTACTGTACACTGGTGGCCCTGTAACAAAATGTTATTTTTCCATGTGCCAACATGCTGCTAAAATGAGAGTGGGGGGGTGATAACACTAAAGATGGATTACCTGGATGGCTTTACGCTTCCCACTACAAACTCAAGTTTGCAGCTCGAGTGTGCTCCTGGATTCAACTCTGAGGCTGGATGCCCCAGTTTTAGCAGTAGCCAGGAGTGCATTTGCACACTTAAAATTAGTGCAGCCGCTGTGCCGGTTCCTGGAGATGTCTAGTCTGACTGCTGTGACACATGCTTTGGTTACCTCCCGGTTAGATTACTGCAGTATATGCTCCATAGCAGTGGTCCCCAACCTTGGGCCTCCAGATGT